GTGTGGACCGTAAATGCCCGGCGTCTCGGGGGCGGACGGGGGGGGGGGGGGGGGGGCATGCCGGGCGCGGCGCCCCTTGTGTCGGTGCATGGGCCGGGGAATCCTCCGTGTTCGGCATTCTTCATGGGGGGTGAGGCTGGCATGCCGGCCGGATAAGGGGGAGCTCCCTCCGCCCGGGAGTTGGTGCTTGGGGCAATGCGGAGGGGTGCATCTGTGGAGGAGGGTGGCGCACCTGCCGACATCCGGGGGCGGGCCTGCCGCACAGATGGACGGGCTCTCGCTGGTGGGGCCAGCGAGGGGGCGGTGGGGAGGCCTTGTGCAACCTGCGATCTGCCCCGGTACCCTGGCGCTGGCCGGGCCCCTGCGACCGATCCTCGCCGCGCCGCTCGTCAGTTAGCTGGGGGAGGATGCCCGGGGGGGGGGGGGGGGGGCGTGGTTGCCAGAGCGGCCCTGGGCCCCCTCTTTGGGGCCCCCGGGCGCGCGAGACCCCCGGGCGAGAGGTGTCCGGGCGAGGGGCGAGGCGGGGGCCGGCGCACAATAATGGGCTCACCCGGCGTTGCCAGTTGGCACATTGACCTGTCCTGGTGAGTCACTCTGTTGCCCTACAGCTGGGTGGGCGTGATGTGCGCGAGGTCCCGGCGCCCTGCCTCGGGATGCATGGCGGTGGGGGGGGGGGGGCGGGCGGATGACCCCGGTGCCGGAGTCGATGACCGAGGCCTGGGGCGGTCCCCGGCTCGGCGCCTGCCCTGGCCGGCGGGTGCTTGTATGGACAGGCCGGCTGGCGGGTGCGAGCCGGCTCGCGAGGCGAAGGGCGGAGGGGGAGGGCCAGGAGAATGGTGCCGGTCACTTGGCCCTCGGTCACCCCTCGCCGGCCGCCCACGGGGTGCCAATTGTGACAGGTGTGTGTGTGTGTGTGTGTGTGTGTGCGTGTGTATGTGTGTGTGAGCGTGGTACCGGCCCATGTAAGCCCAGGGCCCCATGGTGTCTGCCCTGCGCCGCGACCGGCACCGGAGAGCGCAGGCGGCCCCCATACCTTTCCCCCAAGGGGGCCCCCGTGCGACGCCGGTGACCTGCCGCGCGACGTGGCCCAGCTGCCGGGGCGCGAGTCCGCCCCGGCGCATGGAGGGGAGAGGGGCCACTGGCGGAGTGCCTCGGGGCGCTGCCACCGCCCGGGGGGGGGGGGGGGGGGGGGGGGGGGCCGGGGGCGCCGCGCGCACACGGAGGCAACCCCAACCAAAAAGAGGGAGCGGGAACCAAGGCGCAAGCACGCCAGCAAAAAAAATACAGGAAGTACGAAGGGGCGGCGGAGATCAAAAGACGGGGCGGCCGTGAGCTCATGGGTGGGGGGGGGGGGGGGGGGGGGGGAGGCAGGGGCGCGCGGGGCGCGCCAGGCGCACGTAGCCCACATACTCCCCAGGCCGGGGAGCGTCACGTATGTGGGTGCCGCCGTGTTCGGGCGCCTGGCGTGGGAGGGGGCCACGGGTGCCCCGGGGGCGAGGCGTCGGCACGTCGGACGGTCGACTGGAAGGGAGGGAAAACCGCCCGCGGGTGGCCCGGCGTCCGGGAGAGCCTTCTCGGGCGTGCTGAGGACGCACCACCCACATGTCGGCCGGTTCTGCCTGACATCATAGCCCTCGGGGAGGGGGGG